GCCCATCTTGGAAGGGATAAAGCGTCTCGTCATCCAACTGGTCCTGCACCCCCGTCATCACGTAATCCACGTCCTTGGGAGCTAAGCGCTCGATCGGCTTCTTCACGTTGGTCCGTTGGTTCCGTCCGCCCCGGCGGTACTCATACCTCGGTCCCGCGGACGTGACCGGAGAGCTCACCTCCGCGCGGAATTCCGTAACGATCCCGTACGGCACGTCGATTCGGTTGAAGAAAATCTGCTGCGTTAACCGCGATCCGCTCGTTAAGGTCCTCTCCCTCTGGCAACGTCGCCCCTTCTCTAAGGTTACCGCTGCCTGGAGTTGCATCCGCCTGTTCCAGGAGTTCATCCGGATGGAAACCTTCAGGGAGTTCATCCGGATGGGAACCTTTGGGAATATTCTTCTTGGGTTTGAATGTTTTCAAAGACCGACTCCCAAACCCTTGCCCAAGGGGAACCCAAACTTGAAGACCGACTTGCCAAGGGCAACGTGGTCGCTTTTTTTAAGGACACACATGGAAAAACCGTGTGAGTCACCGCTTCCCAAATCGGGACGAAACATAGGAACTTCTGCCACTGCCGGCGGGAAAACGTGCCAAAACATCCCGAGGGGCATTTTTTTTGGGGGGCTTTCGGGCTTTTTGTTGGAGCGCTGTGCCCTGGGTAAAGTTTCTCTTCAGCGCTGCTTCTAATCGAAAAAAACTTGAATTACAAAATATTAACGTGTCTCTCGGTTTCTTCTAACTTATAAAATGCAGAAAGGACGTCCGTAGGATTTCGGGAATTCTTTCCTGAGGCGGGAAAAGCCGCCACTGAGGGAATGCGGTTTCAACACAATCAAGATTTTAATTTGTAACGGTTGGAAAAAAATATTGTTTTTTCACCATGCAGCGTCTTGACTTTAAGTTTTTCAATAAATTTTTTTTTTTCCCCTTTTTTCCTGGATTCTTGCATTTAGCAACATTCACCAGATTTTTTTTGAGGTTTTTCATAAATATTTTGACCTTTTCAGTAGAACCGTATGATGCACCCTGTGCCAAACAGGCTGAGGGACTCCGATTTTTTCGCCTTGGTCCTCATCCGCAAGCGCCTGAGCCGCGCCACCCAAGTCGTCGGAGACAAAGGTGGGGATCAGGAGAACGAAGAAGCGGCCACTGGAGAAGAGCAGGAACGAGACCATCTGAAGGCGCACGAGGCCACGGGATGGGGCAAGAGGCATCCGCTCGTTCCTGAGGGAAGTGGAAGATGAAATTCCCAAGCCACCAGCCATCACGTTGGAGAAGTCGGAGCGGTTTGGTGATGTTCCCAAAGGCTGGAAAAAGGGGAAACATAACCCC